AGGCCCCTAATCCTCCGTCCCCGCTCTCCCTTAATCACAGACCTGGCCCCTAATCCCTCAGATTTGCCAGATATGTAATTCCCACGGTTCTGGATTCTCGCATCCTGGAGGGAGGGAGCCGGCTACTTTGACCACCAGGTCCCCACCAGTGGCTGTGGGGGCCTCAACCCAGTTCCTGCTGGGAGGTCTGGCTGCGTGGGTCCTGTCACTTAGCACCGGCCATGCCTCAGATTGTCTGAGCCAAGAGAATAGCTGGGCAGCTGCTAGAGGAGAACTGAGCTCAGGGTGGTGGCAGCCAGCAGGGCCCCACTGAGGTCACCAGCCTGAGTTGGTGCTCCTGGCAGAGGCTGCAGGCCCTCTCCCATTGATAGGTGCAGGGGCTGAGGGGCCTGGGCCTGGGGCCGGGGGTCATGGCTCTTGAGCCTTCCCCGCCCTGTGCCTCTCTGGCCTGCTTTTCTCTGTGTGAACTGGCCAGCCCGTCCGCTGCCCTCCTGGAAGGAGCAGCGGGATATGGGTGCTTCTACAGATGCAAGGGCTCCACTGTTATTTGTTAGGGGACATTTTACAATACAGGACCTAACTGTGGTCATTGGCGGTGCTGAGTAACTGAGGGCTGACCGTGCATCAGCTCCTGCCTGACAGTATCCCAGTGGTCCCTGTGCCCTGGTGGTACCTGGGGTGCCCAATGAGGAAGGGGCTGCTGGGATTGGGCGGATGAGGCATTGGGGCTCAGAGAAGGAGAGTGATTAGCCCCTGGCTGCCCGGTTCCAGGGGGTGGGCAGGGTGCTGGGGCACATACCCTGGGTTCCTCTACCTTCCACCCAGTTCCTTTACCCCCAGTCTCAGTTGAGAACCAGGCTGGCTGGAGAGGATAAGGGACAAGCCCCACGCCAACTTGGGGGCATCCAGTTGGAGCAGGTGAGATGTCCTGTGCATGGTACTAGGTCGTCCTGCCCGTCAGCCCCTCTTCAGTCCCCTGCCTTCTGCTCCAGCACCTTAAAAGCCCAGGGGACACCACGCAGAATGGGAAGACAGTGCACAGCATGTGATCGGGCTGAGGCTCAGAGCCTGTGGGCAGAGTTCCAGACAGCGGGACAGTAGACAGAGGACAGGCCCTGGGGGTGGCAGCTCTGGGTTCCAATGCCTTGCCCCAATTCCCTGGCTGTGGCACCTCTCTCATCTGTCAGTGGGGAAGTGTGGTGCCTGTCCCTACCTCCCCCACCCCAAGAATAAAAGGAGAGAATGTCTGGAGAGTCACATGTCAAGGATGCCCTCATGCTCTGTGGTCATTTAGATAGTTTCTAGGCCCCCTGGTGGTTTCTAGGCCGCCCTGGCCTTCTGTTACTCTTTCTTGCTTGCTCTGTAACAGGGTGTATGCCCCAAAATGGGGGTAGAAGTTCTCATTTCAGAGAGGGTGGGAATGGGATTAGGAGCTCTATAGTGGATGCTCTGGGTGTTGGGAGCAGGTGGGGCCCCTCAATCCCATTGGATGTTGAGGCCTTGGGTTCTCAAGGATGAGTAGGTGCCTCAGATGGGGGGCCTGAGCCCCACACCTTGTCTAGATTCAGGTGAAAAAAAGGTCTGGAATTTCTAGTAATCATTCGATCTTGTCCTTAACACCCACCCCCAGATCAAGTCAGCCCTTCAGTTCCCTCTAGGTCTTTATCCCACCCCAGGTGGGTTTGTCCAGGGCTCTCCCATAGGACCAGTGCCCTCCCATCATGGGCAGAGAAGGTTCCATCACATGTGGGCGGGCAGTTCCCTGGGAGGACCCTCAAAAGCTGCCACGCCCTGGGCTCCTCCCAGCTGAATAGAAGAGACTGAGGCTCCCAGGGACCAGGAGGACTTGCCCAAGGTCACACCTGCCAGTGGGCAAAAGTGGGTGTCGGCCAGCTCCGGCCAGGCAGTTCCCTGGGAGGACCCTCAAAAGCTGCCACGCCCTGGGCTCCTCCCGGCTGAATAGAAGAGACAGGAGGACTTGCCCAAGGTCACACCTGCCGGTGGGCAAAAGTGGGTGTCGGCCAGCTCTGGCCACCGCCGCCAGGGTTAGATGTTGGGTCTCTTCCAGCCTTTGGCTCTCCCAGGCTGAGCCATGGTGAATATGTTGGTGCAAATAACTTTTTAATTTTTTTCTCTTCCTCTTGGACAGTTTCCTTGGGATCAATTCCCTGGAGTGGAACACCAGCCGGTAGGCGTGGTGTTAATAGCTCTCACGGCGCCATCTGAAAGGAGCCAATTTACGGCAGCTACCAAAATAGGGAGCTCACTGCAGCCAAGCCAGTGCTAGGGCTACGGCTTTTTATTTACGTGTGTCGTTGGGGCGAGTCCCTCCAGCCACTGAGAACCTCCGTCTCTTCTTCTGTCCTTCCTGGAGGAGCGCAGGGAGTTGCAGGCTTTGAGGGTCCTTCCGGGCAATGCCCCACCTACATGTGACAGCGCCTTCCCTCAGTGAACGTGGGGTCTCCAGCCATGATGGGGTGAGTGCTGGTCCGACAGGAGAGCCCGCACAAACCCACTTGGGGATTGAAGACCCCGAGAGACACCTGAGAGGCCGACATGATGGGGGGGTGCCTTTCCCTCCACATTAAAGGAAAAATCAAATAATTGTCTGTTCAAAATTCGACACCCTCCTTTGCCTGAATCTAGGCAGCAGGTGTGGGCTCTGACCCATGATCTGGGGCAGCTGCTCATCACAGCCCCTCAGGCTTCGTGTTTGTTTGTTTTTTATAATGTTAACATATGTATATACACATATAACATAAAATTTGGCATTTACTCATTTGAAAGTGTACAATTCCTGGGTTGCGGGCTTGATCCCTAGTGTGGGGTGTGCAGGAGGCAGCCAATCAATGATCCTCTCTCATCATTAATGTTTCTATCTCTCTCTCCCTTCCCTTCCTCTTTGAAATCAATACAAATTTATGTTTTTTTAAAAAAGCGTACAATTGAGTGGCATGAAGTACAATCACAATGTGTTGTGTACCCCTCATCCCATCCATGTCCAGAACATTTTCATTTTCCAAAACAGAAACTCCCTATCTCCCTCCTCACCCCTGGCAACCATGAACCTACTTCCTGTGTCTATGGGTTTGCCTGTCCGGACATTTCACATAATTGGAATCACACGCTGAGTGGCCGTCTATGTCTGCTTCTCTCACTGAGCGTCGTTTTTTCAAAGTTTACACGTGTTGTAGTGTCAGTGCTTCGTTCCTTTTCATAGCCAAGTACATTCCTGTGTGCGGGTGGACCACAATCGCTCAGTGATGGACATTTGGGCTGTTTACACCTTTTTGGTTTTATGAATCATGATGCTGTGAACATGCGAGCACAGTACCTGTTTGAGTCCCTTCTTTCAATCTTTTTTATTTATTTATTTATATTTTATTGATTTTTTACAGAGAGGGAGGGAGAGAGATAGTTAGAAACATTGATCAGCTGCCTCCTGCACACCTCCTACTGGGGATGTGCCCGCAACCAAAGTACATACCCTTGACTGGAATCGAACCTGGGACCTTTCAGTCCACAGGCCGACGCTCTATCCACTGAGCTACCCCAGCCGGGCCCTTCTTTCAATCTTCTTTTTTTTAATGTATATTTTATTGATTTTTTACAGAGAGGGAGGGAGAGAGATAGTTAGAAACATTGATCAGCTGCCTCCTGCACACCTCCTACTGGGGATGTGCCCGCAACCAAAGTACATACCCTTGACTGGAATCGAACCTGGGACCTTTCAGTCCACAGGCCGACGCTCTATCCACTGAGCTACCCCAGCCGGGCCCTTCTTTCAATCTTCTTTTTTTTAATGTATATTTTATTGATTTTTTACAGAGAGGGAGGGAGAGAGATAGTTAGAAACATTGATCAGCTGCCTCCTGCACACCTCCTACTGGGGATGTGCCCGCAACCAAAGTACATGCCCTTGACTGGAATCGAACCTGGAACCTTTCAGTCCTCAGGCCGATGCTCTATCCACTGAGCCACCCCAGCCGGGCCCTTCTTTCAATCTTCAGATGGAATTGCTGCAACATATGGCGACTCAATTTAACTTTTTGAGGAACTGGCAGTTCTCCCTCCGAGTGGTTTTGATTCACATTTGCTTGATTGCTGCGGGGCCGGCAGTTTGTCCGTGTGGCCTTTTGCTGTGTCTGTCCTCATGACCACTTTATTCAGGACACCGTGCTGGGCCAGCTGTAGCCGTTTCTCAAGTGGATGGGCCCTGTTCTGAGAGCGCTCTTCAGGTGGAATTTAGGAATTGACCTCGGGGTCTTGTATTTGGGAATGGAAGCAACCCATCGGCCCTTTTCCAGGCGCATTTATCGCACCAAGTGTCCGAGCAGTTGCCAAGTCCTGTTGCTCAGCCTCCTCCCACAGTCTCGACCCTTTGCCCTGGCCCCACCTGGTCTTTGCCACCTTCCCCAGCTGGACTGGCACCCCTCCCTGTCTGTGGCACTCGGGGTGCTTCCTGCAATGGAAATACAGCACCTGGACGCCCACCTACTGGTGCAGGTGCCCTGGGTCCCCGGGTCAAGCTGACACGTCCAGCTCCCACCCTGCACTCTCCAACCCCGGGCGCCCCTCCTGAACCTGCCATCATGCTCCTTGCGCTGCCACCCCCACCCCCTCCCACCACCCTGGCCTCGCTCTGCTCAGCTCCCTCTCCTTTCTTGTCCCTTGGACTCTACCCTTACGCCAGGCACATTGGGTGTTTTGGTCAAAGGAACGTTTTAGTCAATTTTTGGGCGACCTCTTCCTTAGGCTTTGTGAGGTCTGGAGCTTCTTCAGGGAGGGAAGGTCAGAACTGAGCTAGCGAGAGGGCCTCGGGCTGGGGCAGCCAGCAGGCTGTGGGGTTCCGTAAGGGGTTCATTCTGCCCTGTAAGAGGAGGAATCCACTCCAGGAGGTCCCCCGCCTGGAGACAGAGTCCACGCTAGCTACACTGGCGCCACAGTCTCGGATTTGCTGGAGGAGGAGAGATCTGAGCTGGTCCTCGAAAGCGCAGGTGCACAGGGCGCAGGGCATGGGCCGGGGCTCCAGGGCTGACGCCACGCCTCTCCCCAGGTTCTACTGGGACTTCACCATGCTGCTGTTCATGGTGGGCAACCTCATCATCATCCCGGTGGGCATCACCTTCTTCAAGGACGAGACCACGGCCCCGTGGATCGTGTTCAACGTGGTCTCGGACACGTTCTTCCTCATGGACCTGGTGCTGAACTTCCGCACGGGCATCGTGATCGAGGACAACACGGAGATCATCCTGGACCCTGAGAAGATCAAGAAGAAGTACCTGCGCACGTGGTTCGTGGTGGACTTTGTGTCCTCCATCCCCGTGGACTATATCTTCCTCATCGTGGAGAAAGGCATCGACTCCGAGGTCTACAAGACGGCGCGCGCCCTGCGCATCGTGCGCTTCACCAAAATCCTCAGCCTGCTGCGGCTGCTGCGCCTGTCGCGACTCATCCGCTACATCCACCAGTGGGAGGAGGTGAGGGCGCTGTGGGAGGGGCCGTTGCTGCAGGGGCGGGGCCACAGGAGAAGGCTGGTGGGTGGGGTCACAAAGGCTGCAGTGAAGGGCCTGTACCACAGGGGATAGAACTAGGGCAGTGGTTCCCAAACTTATTTGGCCTACCGCCCCCTTTCCAGAAAAAATATTACTCAGCGCCCCCTGGAAATTAATTTTTTTTAAATTGTAATAGCAATTAAACAGAAAGATATATGTATTAATATTTCTACCTTTTTCGTAAAATATAGTAAAGAAAGGTGTAAATTAGGAACATTGAAGTTTGAAATTATGAAACTATTTATTGAACTCAGAATAGGAAGGTAATACAAAAAAAGTTAAAGCAAATGCACCTGTGGCCATCACCGCCCCCCCCTCCCAATTGCTGCAGCGCCCACCAGGGGGCGGTACGCCCACTTTGGGAATCACTGAACTAGGGCGTGGTGTGGGGCTCGGTGGGGTCCCAGGGGCCCCTGCAGGGCAGAGCCACGGGCTGTGGTCACAGGGAACACAGCGCGGACTCTTGACACATCTGCACCCCTTTCCTTCATTCTGCCCTGTAAGAGGAGGAATCCACAGCTCCGTTTGGCAGTGGGGAAACTGAGGCCCAAGGAAGTGAAGTCATGTCCCTGTCCCCCAAGTCGGGACCGCCCATACCCAGTGATGTCACCCCCAGTTTCCAAGGCAGCGACAGGCTCCGAGGGGGGAAACGGGCAGGGACAGGGTAGCTGGAAGGGGCAGTGGTCCTGCCTACACGCCCTCAGGACATTTCACTAACCAGAAAGGTAGCAGGGCCTCCTGGGAGTGTGGGATGCTGGGAGGGGATTTGGGTCCTGCGGGCTGTGGGGCGGTGTGGGGGGCTCCTTTCTACCTCACTGCGTCCCCACCCCAGATTTTCCACATGACCTACGACCTGGCGAGCGCGGTCATGCGCATCTGCAACCTCATCAGCATGATGCTGCTGCTGTGCCACTGGGACGGCTGCCTGCAGTTCCTGGTGCCCATGCTGCAGGACTTCCCCCGCAACTGCTGGGTGTCAATCAACGGCATGGTGGTAAGCGCCCGCCCTGGGCCACGCCCACCCGGGCCTCCTCCTGGGGACCCAAAATAGCGCCCCTCTGGGGCCAGGAACAGGCAGCTCCTTGATCATTCCTGTGACTATAACAACTTTTGTCACCCAGACATAATATCTGCTTACTGCCCCCCCCATTGAGTCTACTTTCTAATGTACATCATTTATTCAAAAGACAAAAAAAAAAGAAAGAAATGAGAATGTGGTATCATGGGCCGTCCTATATAATAAAAGGCTAATATGCAAACTGACCAAACGGCAAAATGCCCGGTCGCTATGATGCGCACTGACCACCAGGGGGCAGACACTCAATGCAGGAGCTGCCCCTGGTGGTCAGTGCGCTCCCACAGGGGGAGCCCCGCTCAGCCAGTAGCCAGGCTCAAGGGTGGCAAGTGCGGCAGCGGTGGCGGGAACCTCTCCCGCCTTCATGGCAGTCAGACATCTCCTGGGGGCTCCCAGACTGCAAGAGGGCCCAGGCTGGGCTGAGGGATGTGCCCCCCCCCCGCCCCAGTGCATGAATTTTGTGCTCCGGGGCATTAGTAAAATATAACAATCCATGGAGAGACCCAGTCACCAATTGCTGCCCAGTTGAGATGCCCACTGTTGAAAAGGGTGAGTCTTAGGTGCTCTTTAGCAGCACAAGGAGCCTTTCCCCCACCCCTGGGTGCTGAGCCGCTGGCACTGGTGGGGTGGGTAGCACTCAGGGCTGGGCCCGAGTGGGAGGGGGGATGGGGGCATTGATGGGAGAGACAGCGGAGGGAGCATCCTCAGGGGCGCACCCAGCGCCTGGCACAGCTGCCTGGCTGAGGCAGCTCATTGTCTGGCCGGACACCCGGGCATGCTGTCCTGTTTCCTGAATGGGCCCCACTGCCCCCTCCCACAGCCGGGTTAACTGAGGACAGGAGGTGCGGGGGGGTAGGGGAGCATCCTCCTGGCCCTGCCAGATGCCTCCACCCTCCTGGCCCTCTGATCGGATTCTGGTGTCCCCAGCTCACCGTCCACAGGGTCCCTGAACTTTCACATCCTCTGACCCATTCAAAGCAGAGGCTGCAAAGGGGGGTCGAGGGGGGGCTCCTGAGCACCCAGGGCCGGACTCTGGCCCCCCTGATTCTCAGTTTCTCTGGGAGTGAAGTGAGGAAGCAGTTCCAGACCTGCTCCTGGTGCTGACTCACTGTGACACGCGCACACGTCACATCACCTGCCTGAGTCTAGTTTCTTAGTTGTCCCTGGACATGGGAAGCTCTCCACCTTGGATGCCTGGGGGAGGACAGGCAGCTGGGCCCTGGGCCGTGAGCACCTGCCCACTGCCCACCTGTGTGTGGCTTTGCAGAATCACTCGTGGAGCGAGCTCTACTCCTTTGCGCTCTTCAAGGCCATGAGCCACATGCTCTGCATTGGGTACGGCCGGCAGGCACCGGAGAGCATGACGGACATCTGGCTGACGATGCTGAGTATGATCGTGGGTGCCACCTGCTACGCTATGTTCATCGGACACGCCACAGCCCTCATCCAGTCACTGGACTCCTCGAGGCGCCAGTACCAGGAGAAGGTCTGGGGGGCCACCCCACTATTCCTCCAGCTCCTGGTGGGGGGTGGGGGGGCCCCAGAGGGAAGTCTGGAGCCCGGAGGGACATATGCCGAGGAGGGGGATAGAAGTGAGGGGGTCCAAACAGGGCAGGGCCAGCCCATGAGGCATCAGGGAGCTCTCTGGGAGCAGGGAACACAGGGGGTCTCTCTTGGAGGTGAAATTCTGGGGGTTCGGGCTGGCTTGGGAAGGCTATGGCAGGGAAGGCACTGAGCAGGGTCCAAGAGGACTGGGGTCACTTGCGTACGTGCTGGTCAGCCAGGTCTGTGGGGGAGGCCACTGGAGGAGCAAATACGTTCGGCCACTTGGACCTGGCCTCAGGGTTGGGGGAGCCTCCATGCGACTAGTCCAAGGGCCCGGGGATTGGGAAAGCTGAGGGAGAGCAGGTGCTGGCCCCGTAGACCAGCCCTTTCTGGAGTGTGGCCCTGATGGCTGCCCTGTGCCTCAGTTTCTCTAAGGGCCAAGGGTGAGCTTGGCCCCCACCCCACTGCTGCCCCTAGCTATCCTGCACTGCTGCCAGATGGCTGACCCTGGCTGGGCAGCTGTGAGCACCCCAGCAGTGCCAGTCGGGTTAGCCGGGTCAGCCGGGCCCAGTGCCAGGTGCCCTGGCTGTCCGGAAGCCACGGCCTCACACCCAAACATGAGCTGGTGCTGCCACCCGCCCACCATCACGGGTTCTGCTGAGCTCAGGGCAGCTGTGGCTGGGTGGGGCTGGAGTGGAAATGGAGCTGGGGCACCCCTGGGGGTGCCATCCTGGGGACAGCAGGGCCTGGCACCTCTGCCACATCCCCTGGGTTTATAGAAAGATCCTGGGGGGGGCGGGGAGCACCGGGGCCATAGGCAGAGTTGGGGGTCTCTGGAATGGGGGACCAGCATCTTGGGGGCCTGGGGTCAAGCTGTCAGGGATAGGACACAGGGAGTAACTTCTGTTAGCATAAGCATAACCCCAGTATTGCACGGGATCCACTTCCACGAAACATTTTTGCTGTTGATCTGAAACTCAGATGTAACTGGGCGTCCTGTGCCTGTTGTGGTTGTAGTTAAACTTGGGGGCCCCATTTAGGCTGAGGCAGGGGTTCCCCAAACAGCAGCCACTGACCGTGGCCCCTCATGCCGCCCCTACAGTACAAGCAGGTGGAGCAGTACATGTCCTTCCACAAGCTGCCTGCCGACTTCCGACAGAAAATCCACGACTACTATGAGCACCGCTACCAGGGCAAGATGTTCGACGAGGACAGCATCCTGGGAGAGCTCAACGGGCCCCTGAGAGAGGTGAGGCGGGGCCACAGGACCCTCGGGTTGGGTAAGGTTTGAGACTCCCCTGCTGTCTGGCTCCCAGGCCCCAAGATGAGGAGGGACTGGCTCAGCTGCAAATGAAGGACTCAAGCTAGACTTGTACACACACCACTGTCCCTCCCTGAGCCTCTGCCTCTGCACTCCCATGATGCCCCAGCCACCCTGGGTCCCTAACCCTAACCCTAACCCTAAGCCCATACTACTTACCTTCATTGGGGCCGTGCTAGACAGCAGGAGAAGGCAGAGGAAGGAAGGCTGGAGCCAGTCAGCTTAGGCGGGTTGTGGAGTCAATTCCAGCTCTGCCCCTCAGCCGGTGCGACACTAGGCAAGATTCCTGGGGCAGCCATGAGGTATGACCACCCACTGGACAGCTTAAAACAACAGGAGTTTAGTGTCTCCGGTTCTGGAGATCACAAGTCCGAGATCCAGGTGTCACAGGGCTGTTCCACGACAGAGCCTCCAGCCAGGGTCCTTTCTGCCTCCTCCTGCTTCTGCTGTAGCCAGAGTCATGGGTGACCCTGGGCTTAGAGTTGTATCACCCCGATCTCCACCTCCGCTTCCTGTGTGTGTGTCTGTCCTCTTATAAGGATGTCAGTCACTCAGGGCCCACCTACTCCAGTGTGACCTCATCTTAACTAATGACAACTGCAAAGACCCTATTTCAACATAAGGTCACAGTCCCAGGGACCCGGGGTTCAGGACTTCAGCATACCTTCTGGGGAGACATGATTCAACCCACAGCACTCACCAAGCAGCTACTGAGCGAGTCTGTGAGCCCTGCACTGTGCCCTCAGGGAGGTCCAGAGGGAGGAGCTTTGGGAAGGATGGGATCACAGAGGGCAGAAGGAGGTGACATCTTCTTGAGGCCTTGTGACCCTGTGGGTATCCCAGGTGGAGGGCACAGGTAGGAAAAGGCCTTGAGGAGGGAAGATGATTTTTTCTAATGCTTGTATAGTTTCACTCATTTTTATGTTTTAATCTTTATTGTTGAGACTATTGCAGATGTCTCTCTTTTCTCCCCCCATTGCCTCCCTCCACCCGCTTCCTGCCCCACCCCCGGCCTTCACCACCCTATTGTCTGTGTCCATAGCTAATGCATATTTGCATATAAGATCTTTGGTTAATCTCTTCCTGTTCCCCACCCTCTTCTCTCTGAGAATCGTCAGCCTGTTTGTTCATTTGATCTTTAGATTCCATTGTTGATAGATATGTATTTATTGCCATTTTATTAGCATTTTTTATCTTTTTCTTCTTCTTAAAGAATACCCTTCAACATTTCATTAATACTGGTTTGGTGGTGATGAACTCCCTTTAGCTTTTTCTTGTCTGTGAAGCTCTTTATCTGACCTTCTCAATGATAGCTTTGCTAGGTAGAATAATCTTAGTTGTAGGTCCTTGCTATTCATCACTTTGAATATTTATTGTCACTCCCTTCTGGCCTGCAGAGTTTCTATTGAGAAATCAGCTGACAGTCATATGGGTGTTCCCTTGTAGGTAACTAAGTGCTTTTCTCTTGATGCTTTTTTTTTCTTTTCTTTTTTTAAATATATTTTTATTGATCTCAGAGAGGAAGGAAGAGGGAGAGAGAGATAGAAACATCCATGATGAGAGAAATCATAGATTGGCTGCCTCCTGCATGTCCCCAGGGACCAAGCCCACATTCTTGACCAGAATCGAACCAGGGACCTGCAGGCCAACGCTCTGTCCACTGAGCCAAGCCGGCCAGGGCTCTCTTGCTGCTTTTAAGACTTTCTCTTTGTCTTTAACCCTTGGCATTTTAATTATAATGTGTCTTGGTGTGGGCCTCTTTGGGTTCCTCTTGTTTGGGACTCTGCACTTCCTGGACTTGTAAGTCTTTTTCTTTCAAGAGGTAGGGGGTTTTCTGTCATTATTTCTTCAAATAGGTTTCAACATCTTGCTCTCTCTCTTCTCTTTCTGGCACCCACATAATGCAAATGTTGATACACTTGAAGTTGTCCCAGAGGCTCCTTACACTATCTTCATGTTTTTTAATTTTTTCTCTTTTTAAAAAAATATATTTTATTGATTTCTTACAGAGAGGAAGGGAGAGGGATAGAGAGTCAGAAACATCGATGAGAGAGAAACATCGATCAGCTGCCTCCTGCACATTCCTTACTGGGTATGTGCCCGCAACCAAGGTACATGCCCTTGACTGGAATTAAACCTGGGACCCTTCAGTCCGCAGGCTGACACTCTATGCACTGAGCCAAACCAGTTAGGCAATGGTTCTCAACCTTCTGGCCCTTTAAATACAGTTCCTCATGTTGTGACCCAACCATAAAATTATTTTCGTTGCTACTTCATAACTAATGTTGCTACTGTTATGAATCGTCATGTAAGTATCTGATATGCAGGATAGTCTTAGGCGGCCCCTGTGAAAGGGTCGTTCGACCACCAAAGGGGTCGTGACCCACAGGTTGAGAACCGCTGGGTTAGGGCTTTGCTTTCTGATTGGATGTTTTTTGCTTCCTCATATTTCAAATTGTTTATTTGATTCTTGGAGTTCTCTGCTCTACTGTTGAATCCCTGTAAATTATTCTTTTATTTTTTTAATTA